GGATACAGATGAATGTCCATTTTGTATCATGTATTCAAAATGGTTAGGATAGACATATAGCTACATTCTCTTAATGAATAGAGGGATTTGTTCTAATATTGTTTGTAAATAGGATATCATGTCTGCATCTTGTACAACAAATAACCACTAGGAAGGCAGTATGCAATGTGTTAATTATTGGAACTGTCCTACCAATTCAATTTGAAACTGTCTCATTGCTATTTATTTCTCAATAAAATTATGGGAAAAAATAGAGGAAAAAACCCCAAAAGTGTTTACTGATTGTATTAGAAATCCTATCTAGAGCAATTAGGTAAGAAAAACAAATAGAAATGAAGGTCATGTAAATTATAAAAGGAAATAAAATTATTCTTGTTCATAAAAAAATCACTAAAGAAGAATTTTCTTAAGGAGAAGTAAACCCACTGGACATGGTAGTGGAGGACTAATGCAAGTACTCTGAGAGGCTCAGACTAGAAACATGTACTTTAGACTAGTAGTTCAGACTAGAAGCCTAGTCTGAACAACTTAGTGACTTAGAGAGACACTGTTTAAAAAATAAAACAGGCTATGGATGTAGCTCAGTGTGAAGGCTCTGGTTTAATTCCTAGGTAAAAAAAGAAAGAGAGGGGCCCAGGGAGATAGCTTAGTAGAATAAGTACTTGCCTGGCAAGCACAAGGGCCTGAGTTCAATCCCAGGTTCTGAAAAAAAAAAAAAAAAGAGAAAGAAAGTAAGAAAAGAAAGAAGAAAGGAAAAAAAATAAAATAAAAGAGCCGGGGAGATAGCTCAGTAGAATAAGCACCTGCCTGGCAAGTACAAGGTCCAGAGTCTGATCCCTCCCTAGTACTGCAAAAAAGAAAAAAAAAAAAAAGAAGAAGAAAGAAAACAAATTTATAAATGGAAGAATCATCCTGGAAGAAAAAATGGTAGAAATCATTCTCCAATTTCTTCTATCTACTTTCTCTGAAAAGGTTACCTTGCTCAAACGGGTTTGATAAGTCATTTTTTAAAATCCCATTGACTATAAATTGTTTTGACTGAACTTTTATAGCATTCTTAGGGCCAGCCAAATAGCTCAGAGGATTAAAGCTCCTGCAAGCAGGAGCAGGGGCTGGGGGTTCCATCCCTGGGCCTGCTGTGCTCTGAGACAGCAATTGAGATCGGGTGTGGTGGTGTGCACCTATAATCCCAGCACTTGGGAGGCTGTAAACAGGTGGATCACTATGAGTCTGATCTAGTAGTGAGACCCTGAACACCCTGTAGACTCTTTCCTAAAATATAGGGGGGAAAAAAAAAAAAATATATATATATATATATATATATATATATATATAGTATTCTTATAACTAAAAATATCTCTCTTTCTCAGCCACAGGTCACTACAGAGAACCTTTCCTAAAGATGACAGATGGCTTTATACCTATAGACAGTTTGTAGATGTAAATCTTTAATTTTTTTTTAAGTTCCCCATGTAACTTGCTTGAATCTATGAAGAAAACTTTCAGTTTTTAAAAGATTTTCTCTTTTCTACCTCGCTCTGTTGCTTTCTCCTTCTAGAATAATTAATACTCAAGGATTGAACTGTTTTGTCTTTCAGGAATTGGGGTCAAATGCTTGAGCCAGGTTTTTATCTTTGTTTTTTCAATAAGTGTCCTTGGGTCTCGTTTTTGTTTGTTCCTGATTGCCAGCACAGTTTTAACTTCTACTGGTTTGACTTCTATGTAACATTTTTGGATTGGGTTGGCTTTCTGGTGTCCACAGTTTTACAGAGGTTATGTATTATATTGTGAACACAAGTGGCTGAAAAATTTGACATGGTCTTTCTTTCTTTCTTTCTTTCTTTCTTTCTTTCTTTCTTTCTTTCTTTCTTTCTTTCTTTCTTTCTTTCTTTCTTTCGTGGAACCAGGGATTGAACTCAGGTCCTTGTGCTTGCTAGGCAAGTGCTTATTCTACTGAGCCATCTCCCTGGCCCTGACATGATTTTTCTAGTAATGGTTGTTACCAAGAATCTGTCTCAGAAGAAGGTGCAGCTCTGATTGTGTCTTGTGGGATAGACTTTTCTGGCTCATTCTGTTTCCTCTTATTTATTTATTTATTTATTTATTTATTTATTTATTTGATGCAGGGTCTTACTAGGTAGCTCACACTCATAGTGGTCCTCCTGTCTCATTCTCCCCTGCACTGGGATTACAGGCGTGTACCACCAGCTTGATTTCGGTGGCCAGCAAGGTGTACCCAGGGCTGTGGTATGGGGTACCAGGGAT